TGCAGTACACAGGCCTCTCACTGTTGTGGCCTCTCCTGTTGCGGAGCACAGGCTCCAGACGCGCAGGCTCAGCGGCCATGGCTCACGGGCCCAGCCGCTCCGCGGCATGTGGGATCTTCCCGGACCGGGGTACGAACCCGTGTCCCCTGCGTCGGCAGGCGGACTCTCAACCACTGCGCCACCAGGGAAGCCCTATTCTGAGCCTTTTAAATTCCTCCTCCTTCAGTCCAGGAGATAAGGTTGGAGGGGTAGGCAATTACATATCACATAGAGCCTTTCATGGTTTCAGGACATTTTAGTTTTTGCCTTAGCAATACTTCCCACAATAATGATTAAGCAGTTGTTTGTATAATTGTTCTATGACTTTCTCTCTTGATACACAAAGCTCTGTGTGTCCAGGGACCACACTGCGTCACCTGCAGCACAGTGTATAAACAAATAAATGGAGCTCATGGCAATGTTAGATTTGAACACATTTCATGCGAAAGTTTGTTTTCATGTATTTAACGTTAATATTTAATATGTCAAGATGTTTTTGTGTAAATATATTGATCATCTGTGCAAAAGATCCCCACCTCCTAAGAAGAGAACGAGATGCAATGAGCTGAATTAATTAGGAGAGCATCCAGGAATCATTTGCCTTCTTTGTTTGTTGGCCATGAGGACAGATTTTTGTCTGATTTGTTCATGGGTTTATTCTTAGCAGTAAGAACAGTCCCTGGCACAGAAATATATGTTGAGCCAATGGATTGATAAAACTTAATGACACTCACAACTCAACAGGGAGAAAATAAACAACCTAAATAAATGAGCAAAAGATTTGAACAGACAAACTTCACCAAAAAAGATATAGGGTGGCAAATAAGCACTTGAAAAGACCAACATTATTAGTCATTAGAAAAATACAAATTAAAACCCCAGTGAGTTGTTGCTAGATACCTGAAAGAATGGCTAAAACCAAAATAACTGGCAATACCAAGTGCTAGTGAGGATGTGAGGCAATAGAAATCTCATTTGTTGCTGGTGGGACAGCTCACTTTGGAACTTAGTTTGTCGGTTTCTTATAAAGTTAACCGTACACTTAGCATATGACCCAACAACCCTAGAAATTTACTTAAGAAAAATGAAACCATATGTCCACAGACACATACACACATAAAAAAACAAAGATGTTTGTGAAGGCTTTATTCACAATTTCTTTCTTTCTTTTTTTTGGAAAATGTTGGTGGACTTTGATTTGTGAATCTTTTTCAATTTATTTTATTTATTTATTTTTTAAATTTTTATTGAAGTAAAGTTGCTTTACAATGTTGTGTTAGCTTCTACTGCACAGCAAAATGAATCTGCCATACATATACATATATCCCCTCCGTTTTATTTCCCTCCCATTTAGGACACCACAGTGCATTAAGCAGAGTTCCCTGTGCTATACAGTATGTTCCCCTTTGTTGTCTATTTTATACATAGTATCAATAGTGTATATGGGTCAATCCCAATCTCCCAATTTCTCCCACCCCACCCCTTTCCCTCTTGGTATCCATACGTTTGTACTCTACATCTGTGTTGTCTATTTCTGCTTTGCAAATAAGGCCATCTATACCATTTTTCTAGATTCCACATATATGCGTTAATATGCGATATTTGTTTTTCTCTTTCTGATTTACTTCACTCTATGACACTTCCTAGGTCCATCCACATCTCTACAGATAACCCAATTTCGTTCCTTTTTATGGCTGAGTAGTATTCCATTGTATATATGTACCACATCTTCTTTATCCGTTTCCCTGTTGATGGACATTTCGGTTGCTTCCATGTCCTAGCTATTGTAAATAGTGCTGCTATGAACATTGGGGTGCATGTGTCTTTTTGAATTATGGTTTTCTCTGGGTATATAGCAAGTAGTGGGATTGCTGGGTCATATGGTAGTTCTATTTTTAGTTTTTTAAGGAACCTCCATACTGTTTTGCATAGTGGCTGTATCAATTTACTTTCCCACCAACAGTGTAAGAAGGTTCCCTTTTCTCCACACCCTCTCCAGCATTTATTGTTTGTAGATTTTTTGATGATGGCCATTCTTACCAGTGTGAGGTGATACCTCATTGTAGTTTTGATTTGTACAGGATAGAAAGCCCAGAGATAAACCCATGCGCCTATGGCCACCTAATCTATGACAAAGGAGGCAAAAATATACAGTGGAGAAAAGGCAGCCTCTTTAATAAGTGGTGCTGGGAAGACTGGACAGCTACATGTAAAAGAATGAAATTAGAACACTTCCTAACACCATACACAAGAATAAACTCATAATGGATTAAAGACCTAAATGTAAAGCCAGACACTGTGAAACTCTTAGAGGAAAACATAGGAAGAACACTCTTTGACATAAATTGCAGCAAGATCTTTTTTTGACCCACCTCCTAGAGAAATGGAAAGAAAAACAAAAATAAACAAATGGGACCTAATGAAACTTCAAAGCTTTTGGACAGCAAAGGAAACCATAAAGAAGACGAAAAGACAACCCTCAGAATGGAAGAAAATATTTGCAAACGAAGCAACTGACAAAGGATTAATCTCCAAAATATACAAGCAGCTTATGCAGTTCAGTATCAAAAAAACAGCCCAATCAAAAAATGGGTGGAAGACCTAAATACACATTTCTCCAAAGAAGACATACAGATGGCCAAAAAACACATGAAAAGATGCTCAGGATAAATAATTGTGATTTCTAAAAACTGGAAAAAAACTCAAATGATCATTAACCAGTGAATGGATAAATGGCTAAACAAACCATGGCACATTCATACAATGGATTACTACTCAGCAAGAAAATGGTGCAAACTACCTATATAAGCAACAACATGAATGAACATCAAATACCTTATGCTAAAGTGAAAGAAGCCAGACTCAAAAGGCTACATACTATATGATTCCATTTATAGAACATTCTGGAAAGGCAAAACTATGGGACAGAAGCCAGATAAATGCAGATAAGTGTTCACCAAGGGCTGGGGGTGGGAAAAGAGAATTGACTACAAAGGGGGAACTTATTGGAGTAATGGAAATATTCTATATTTTGATTGTGACAGTGCTTACCCAACTACATGCATTTGTCAAAATTCATAGAACTGATTTGAGAACACCCTGAACCAGAAAAGGATGAATTTTACTGTATGTAAATTATACCTTAATCAACTTGACTCAAAACCGAGCAGAGAAAGGGTTAATGAGGCTCTTCTCTATTAGTACTTAAGCAAGCAAATCATTAGCTTGCTGCTTGAGAATCGGGAATGAACAATGCTTTGCCGAGGGACCAAAGAAACCAGTGACACTCAGCTCCCTGCTCATCATTCCCACTGTTTTTATTCTTTACATGCTCGCCCTGATAAACAGGTAATAAGGCACTTCAAAATCCTTAATCTCTTCAAAATATGTAATGAAAAGATAGAATATGTTGCAGGCTTATAAGTTGCTTGAAACAAGGTCTTTATTTTTTGTGTATTATAGTCTGTAGCAAAACCATTAATTGACAAATGACATTTAGCACCATGTAAGACACTGAACTCTCACTTATTTGCTACTCCGTAGAGTTGCTGTGAAAATCAAGAGGACATACTTGCACTGTATAAACGATAAAGTGCTAAATAAATACAGGTGGTCTCATTGCCAAATATTAACAAACTAGACATAACAAACAAACTGGGATTTCAGGCATCAGAGAGTAAACCACAGACAGGGTGTAGGTAAGATGTAAAGGAAAGAATTACTTGACTTGCATCTATGTTTGGCCCCATTGCCATCTTCGTGCCCAATGAGGAGAATCTGTGGTTTTCAGGAGTTCCGTCCATAGCATTGATGAATGGCAGGAGTGAAATTTGACGTATTAGAGTGGGAAGCGACTAAATGGAAGGACTGCTATAGGCAAAAGTTGGACTTAGAAGCTCTGAAAGAGTGAATCTTCAACAGGTGGTTTTTTGTTTGTTTTTGTTTGTTTTTTGTTTGTTTTTGGTACTCCAGTCTTCTGTGAAGTGGGGGTCTCGTTCTAGATAGAGGTGACCATCGTAGTAAATGTACTGTGTCACCCATACCAAACCATTTCTTCTGATATCTCATCTTCCAGGGTTTTTGCCACTCTAGTTCTCCATACATTTTTGTTCCATAAACAGCCAGCTTTTATGCTCATGAATATTCTCAGGAACCCACGGATATCAGTGATAAAGTTTTAGCTATAGTCATAACAGATTTCTCCTTTATAGACATACGTACACAATTAGAAACCTTGCTTTTTTGCCTCTTAGATTGCAATATCATTTGTCTTGGAGAGGTACTCCATGTTGAGTTCAAGAAATATTTATTCGTATGACTTTTGATAACTTATTTATGGGGTATTTCAGAATTATGAAATGAATTCTACTAGCAATATGGCTTTGGCAAGATCACTTAACGTGTTTTCTTGCTTGCAAAACACAGTTAATAGTTTCAACTTTGCTGTTGTCACCATGTTGTTTTAAGAGTCACAGTAGCTTAGGCAAGCTTGCAGTTTACTCTGAAGTTTTGTGCTGATGTAAGGCAATAGTATTTTTTATTTTATTTTATTTTATTTATTTATTTATCTATTTATTTTTGGCTGCGTTGGGTCTTTGTTGCTGCGCGCAAGCTTTCTCTAGTTGTGGTGAGCGGGGGCTACTCTTCGTTGTGGTGCATGGGCTTATTGCGGTGGCTTATCTTGTAGTGGAGCATGGGCTCTAGGCATGCGGGCTTCAGTAGTTGTGGCTCGCAGGCTCTAGAGCACAGGCTCGGCAGTTGTGGTGCACGGGCTCAGTTGCTCTGCGGCATGTGGGATCTTCCCAGACCAGGGATCGAACCCGTGTCCCCTGCATTGGCAGGTGGATTCTTAACCACTGTGCCACCAGGGAAGCCCTGCAGTAGTATTATTAATGGCATTCTCTTCATTATTTTTACCACTCCCAGAAGAGGGTACACTGATAAATTGTATGTTTTTCCAGGGAGAGTCACTCCGGGACAGCTCATGTCCTATATTCATCTCTTCAAGAACAACCTCAAAGCTCTAGGGAATCACTGTGGGCTCCTACAGCTTGGGCTGGCCACTGTTCAAACTCTGAAACACCCGCAGACTGCCAAGTGGGACAACTTTCTGGCTTTTGAAAGACTCCTTCTCCAGGTATGTTGCTCTGGGAGCTTCTTGGGATATTAATAATTAAAGTTTTTAATTCCAGGGAAAAACTGATATTTATTATAATCTTAGTAATAAATCATATTGTTGACATATGCCCTATATCATATTTTCTTAAGTGCCCCCAATTTAAAATTCAAGTAGCAGTTTTTTTCTGTATCTACTTTTTTTTTTTTTTTTTTGACAGTAACGTCTTTGGCTTCTCATTCAATACTTTAGAATGTTTTTTGAGTATTTGACTAAACTTTGAAGATCTCTTTTCAGTTTTATGCCATTTGGGCCTTTCTTGATCTTCATGGCATCTTTATTTAATCCTTGCTACTTTTCCTGTAGAATATTGCTACTGTTTACATTTCTTCTGACACTACTTTCTAATCCTTAAACAACATATAGCATGTGGCTTAAAATGATGCTTATAATAGACGAAAGGGAGGCAAACTCCATTTGTAATTCTCTCTTTTTTTTTTTAAAGTATTAGCTTATTTATTTATTTATTTATTTGGATGCTCTGGGACTTAGTTGTGGCACATGGGATCTTCCTTGCCACATGTGGGATCTTTAGTTGTGGCGTGCGGGATCTTTTTTTAGTTGCAGCATGCGGGATCTTAGTTGCGGCATGTGGGATCTAGTTTCCTGACCAGGGATCGAACCGGGGCCCCCTGCATTGGGAGGGTGGAGTCGTAACCCCTGGACCACCAGGGAAGTCCTCATTTGTAATTTTCATGAAGAGAGATGTATGTGGAGTAGGACCTTTTCACTATTGATAAAATATTTTCAGGGGAAACTTTTAAGAAGATGTATTTTTAAAAATTATAAAGTATTTCAAACACATAAAATAATATGACAAATATTTATGTACCTTACACATAGATTCAATATAATTTACTAGTTTTTTATGTTTACTTTATATCCTTTTTCATTAAAGAAATAAAACTAGACATAAAGTTGAAGCATCTCTGATACTATACCCTTTTTCTGCTCTGATTCTCCTTTTTCCTTTCCCAGAGGTAATCACAAGCTTGATTCCTTGTTTCTATATGTTTATTAAGTATTTATTTTTCCATGAATAATACAGAGTATTATGCCACGGGTTTTACTTTTTATGTAAGTGATATCACATTATAAGTATCCCTAAACAACCTGCTTTTCCCTCTCAGCCTTCTGTTTTAAGATAATCCAAATTGACATGTATAGATTTAATTGTATAAATATTCAATTTATGGAACCCATATTGATGTATAATTAGACTGTTCCATATTTGTGTGTGTGTGTGTGTGTGTGTGTGTGTGTGTGTGTGTGTGTGTGGTTTGAAAGAATGAGATGAATATCCTGGAACTTGTCTTCTGGTCCACATGTGAGAGAGTGTCTCTAGGGCATATACCTTGGAGAGGATTGTTATTTTGTTGACCATGCATATTGTTGAGTTTACTAAATATCACCAAACTGATCATCAAAGACGTTGAACTAGTTGACCCTTCTGCTAGGACTGGATGACAGTTTGTTTCCCAGCATAGTGTCCAGCACTCAGTATTATCAAATTTAAACATTTTTTTATAATGGGTCAATACTATCTTTGTATAAATTTGCATTTCTCTGGCTACTGATGAGGCTGAGCACCTTCTGTAGTATTTATTAGCTATTCAGTTTTCCTCTTCTATCAATTGCTCATTTTTATACTTATTTATCTATTTAGGTAACAGAAAAAACTGTTTTATGTCATGCAAATACTTCTCCCAGACTGTGGTTTGGATTTTAAATTTAATTCCTATATGTTTTGTTGTACAAAATTTTTGCATCTGATGTACTCTAGTTAATGAATATTATCTTTTATAGCTTATTCTTATTTATGTTTTATATTAGAAATCTTTTTGTACCCCTAATTTCTAAATATATTGTTCAGTATTTTCCACTAAAAGTTAATTTTTGACATTTGAATTTTTATTTATTTATTTATTTATTTATTTATTTATTTAACATCTTTATTGGAGTATAATTGCTTTACAATGGTGTGTTAGTTTCTGCTTATAATAAAGTGAATCAGTTATACATATACATATATCCCCATATCTCCTCCCTCTTGCATCTCCCTCTCACCCTCCCTGACATTTGAATTTTTAATCCACCTGGAATTTATCTTTGTTTATATTATTGGGATCTCATTTTCTTTTCTTCCATATGGATAGCCTATTCTCCCCATACCATTTATGAAATATTCCATTGTGCTGTAGATTACTTACCTAACAGTCATTTCCCTCTTTCTCATGTTGGCAGAATACCAGTTTTGTTCCAGTGTCCACTCTTTTCCCACATGATTCAGGCAAATCCTGATTGGTCTCAGACTATATTAATATTCTCATCTCCTCACCTAATGATTGGTTTAGCAGTTCTAGCCTAAGAGAGGCAAAGCGAAGTTTGCTGGAGGTGCTTCTAAGAAAAATTTTCTTTTGCCCATGTAGAAAAATACATAATGAAGAAACAAGCTCCTTTTTCTTGATATATGTTTGTGACACTGAGTATTTTGTAATAATGAAGGGAGCTCGCTGAGATCCTGAAAAAGATAAACAGAACCTAAATCCTTAAAGATGACTTTGAGTCTTACCTCAGAATATCTTGTTCTGTGAGATGATGATTCTTCTCATTGTTTAAGCCATTTTAGTTGGTTTTCTGTTATTTGGAACCAAAAGATACTCATCCATTTCTCAATGATACATGATACACTAAGATCTCATATAAAAATAGGTTTGTATCTCACTTTCTAGTCTGTTTCAGTGGTCAGTTTATCCATCACAGAATTAATACCACAGTGTTAAAATTAACATGTCCAGTTTTATGCCTTTCTCTATAAAAGAAACTTACTAGATTTTTTATGGGTATTTTAATGATTTTAATACCAGTTGTAAATTGAATTTTCTAATTGCTCATTGCTGGTGTATTGGAATACTCTTGGCTTGACTTTTGACTGGTGATCACTTGTCCAACAACCTTGCATTTTGTATTAATATTTGTTTTCCTATTTCTTGTTGTGATTCATTGGTTGTCCTGTATTTCCTCTACAGGCAATAATATTATCTGCAAATAATGGCTGTTTTGTTACTTCCTTTTCACATTTCATACCACTTTCTTTTTTAGTGCGCTGACCAGGCATACTAGAACCCTACTCAACAGAGGCAATGAAAATAGGCATTTTCATCTTATTCCTGACTTTAAACACAATGTTCTAAAATTTTACCATTAAATATTATGTTTTGTTTTATTTTTAATCAGGCTAGGGAAGTTCCTTCTTAATCTTATTTTGCTGAATTGTTGTTGTTGTTATTGCTGTTTTTATCCTGCCTGAGTGTTGAATTTCACTTAATACAGATTCTGAAATTTTTTAGATGAATATATATATATGGTTTTTCTCCCATAATCTGTTAATGTGGTGAATTGTATTTATAGTTTTTTAAATAATCATTACTGCATTCCTGGGATAAGTTTAACTTGATCCTACACACACACACACACACACACACACACACACTGCTAGATTTAGTTTACTAATATTTTATTTACGCATTTGCATTTATGCTTGTAGGTGAGATTACCTTATAATTTTTCTTCATTGTGCTGATGTTGTCCAGTTTCGCAACAAAGCTTACAGTAGTTAGGTAAAATCAGAGTGAGTTTCATTTTTTGTATTCTTTGGAGCTATTTGTATAAGAAAGGAATTTTCAGTTGCTTAAAAGTGAAATATGCCTAAATTTAGAATCATGTGGACCTGCCGTGTTGTTGTTAGACTTAGATTTGTACTTCCAATTTGATTACTTAAGTGTTTATAGATCTATTTAATTCTCTGTTTTTTCTTGAGATTATTTTGGTAGTTTATATTCGTTTAAATCCATTCATCTATATTTTCAAATTGGCATAAATTTATTTATAGAATTCTCTTAAAATTTTTAAATCTCTTTTGAATATATAGTTGTAATTCCTTTTTTCAATACCTGGTATTTTTATTGCAAAATTAACTCTCCTTTTGATTTTGGTTCATATTAGCAGAATTTTATTAGTCATTCCAAAGAATCAGCTTTAGTTTTTTATTTTGATATACTCATTTGTGCTCTGTTTTATTTTTCATTAATTTCTGTTTTTATCTTATTTCCTTTCTTCTGTATTCTTTGGTTTTACTCTGTTGTTCTTTTTTTAACTTCCTATTTTCAAATAATGTATTTAAGATTATGAATTTCCCTCTAAATGCTGCTGTACCTTAGTCCAAAAGTTTGACTGTCTTTGTTGTTATTCAGTTCTAAATATTTCACAATTTCTATTATGATTTTCCCTTTGATTTATTTATTATTTAAATTGCATGATATTTTTTAAGTTTATAAATATATGAGGTCTTTTTTTTTTTTGCTTTACGCGGGCCTCTCACTGTTGTGGCCTCTCCCATCGCGGAGCATACGCTCCGGATGCGCAGGCTCAGTGGCCATGGCTCACGGGCCCAGCCGCTCTGCAACATGTGGGATCTTCCTGGACCGGGGCACGAACCCATGTCCTCTGCATTGGCAGGCGGACTCTCAACCACTGTGCCACCAGGGAAGCCCTATATGAGGTCTTTTAAAAAAACTTACTTTTACTTGATTATTATATTGTGGTCAGAGAATGTGTTTTGAATGATATAATCTCCGTATTTATGTGACTTCCTTTGTATGTGATTCATTTCTCTAAATGGTCCACATATTATACTCAAAAAGAATGTTTATTCTCTAATTGTTTTATGTAACGTTCCATAAATGTCCCTTAGCTTACAGTAATCATATATAATATATTAAAATATGTATTATTATAATATAAATAATTCAAATAAATATAAATGATTCAAGATACATTTTTAAAAAATTCTTTATCTCCTTACTTACTAGCTTCTGACAGAAGTGTTTTCAAGTTTCCCACTATGATTGTGGATTTATCAATTATTCCTTATATTTTTTCTGTAACTATATCTATCTATA